CACAGACTTCAGCAGCCAAAGATGCAAATAGGATCAATTCAGTTTCAGCTCCAGTTCATACACAGAAAACCCTGATGTTCCCACCACCTAAGGAGAGAGGGCTGTTCCTGACGCATACATCTTGAAGTTACACCCTTGGGGCAGAAGATGCAATCAGGTTACCACAAGTAGTGTCCCGTCCAACTTGTTCAGCAGTGAGTGCTCTACTTTTCTGTCAGCTCTTTCATAAAGCAAGTGCTCTTCGCTTTTCTCCAAGTTTGGATCTGACCTACTTTGCAGAGCTCTCACCACGTGCTTCTCCTTGCTCTCTCCTTCTCTGAGGTTCTCTGTAATTGCTGTTGTCAAAGGTGGACCTGAGCAGGGATCTTGTCAATGGAAACACTGCCAGACCCAACATCATCACCTCAGAAATTAAACATTATAATTGATGAATTATAATTGTAGCAAAAATACCCTTTGTTTGAAATGAGGAGACTAACACAATTCTCTCCATATCTTCTGGGCCTAATTTCAATCCGTCACTCCTGTTTCTCTAACTTCCTTAGAAGGTGAAAAAACCCAATCCAACCAACTCCCTCCACATGTAACAAAGCAGTGGTGTCTTAGCTTCCTCACATACGTGTACTGCTCCTAAATAATAGTTTTATAGCAGGGGCTATTATGGGCGACCCTTTCACCCAAGCAGCTCCTTAGATTAAGGGAAAAAAAAAAAAAAAAGATGATGCTGTTACATTGTATTTGCTAAGCACCAGTCTACAGCTCAGAGTCATGCTGGTGGTCCAGGACTTGGAAAAGCTGGTAACACTTCAGAGAAAAGCAGGAATGTCTCAGTGCTTTGTTGCTTGCAGAGATTGCTCTGACTAGAAACGCGAACAATTAATGGCCTAATTAACACAAAATGATTCATCTTAGAAGCCTGGGCTTCATTTTCTATCTGCAACTAACTGTACACTGAAAGATGCAAAAGATGGGACTTTCGAGTGCTCAGACCAAAAGCTGGAGCCAGGATTTCAGGAGCCATCAGTCCTTTTTGGGTCCCTGCTTTCTACTGCCACCCAAGCAGCTTTGAAGACTACTTTTGAAGATGTACCCATGTATTCAGATGCTCAGGTAGAAACAGCGTGCTATAGCAAGCTCTGGACACAGGAAAGCCACATGGGGAAAATGATTCTCAAATCAAGAACGGCAAACAGGTAGAGTCCCAAGTTTCCCAAGCTTGGAGAAGCCAAATTGGACAGAGTCTTGGCTAGGAAGTGGTGATAGCTGGACAGTGTTCACACACTTAAGCCTCAGACCCATACAGGGGTTAGACATAAGTCTAAACTTCTTGTGTTCAAGCTTAAACTGGCCTGAGAAAAGCACAGTCTGGACACCACCTGAGTTTGCCAAAGCCTAGCCAGTTACAAGTGCGTGGCAGAATACAGGCAAAGGCCACCCCATTTTCTAAGCCAATGCCAAACTGATGTTTGTGACCCAACAGCTGGAGCCAACAGCAAAGCTGCATGGGCTTTAGGCAGGAGCCGTAATGCCTCCAATCCAGCAAACATGTAGGCACATGCATAACTTGAAAAGAACAGTTGGGAGGTCTGAGGGACTCACTCCAGTGCTGGGCGTCAGCAGTGGCAGATTGTGTATAGCTACAAAGCCTTTTATCTTCAATAAGCCCAGATGCTGCTATAAATGAAATCTGCATCTTTATAAGGTATTGCAACAAGAGAGGCACTATTCATGAAAGAAGGTGGGGTGGGAGAAAAAAGTCTTTAAAACAAACTAGGACAGAAACAGCATGAAGCAGGAAAATAAACACCATGGCCCTGGCATGCAGACAGACTAATCCTTCCATACTCCCTGAAGTTGCACAGATCTTGGAACAAGACAGAAGAATTGGGAAGGCGGTAAAGTATTTCCCAGATTAGTACACATCATTGTGTACCACATAGAAATGATACTTTTATGACCTGCCTATGTGGTTGGCCAGTCTGAGTTGAGCAAGAACAGAGAGGTAAACTATGAAAGTCATAAAATAAAACCTAAGAGGAAAAAAGAAAAAGAGCCCCATGACAGGCACCTGTTAGCTGTTGTGTGTGGTTTTTTGTTTATTTTTTTTTTTCTCTCTCTCCTCCAGTGAGAAAAAGGAAGTGTCTAGCTTGGGTTTGCCTGCACTTTGCAGTTACTGAGCATTGTGCAACCTGATGGAGGCAATCAATGATAAACCTTCACCTGAAATAACATACCCTCACCAACCAGGCCTTGTCCGATAGTATGGATCAAGAGAGGGACCTAGCTAATAACAACGTATTGCTTGTGAGTGGCCTGGGAGTCCCCCTTACTGGGTAGTACAACCATGTCATATGTGAAAGAAAGAGCAAACCCTACACAGAAACATGAACTGAGAGCCCTAAACTTGCTTCTCTGCTGTGTAAATCATCTCTCCGTGACTCTGTTGCAATAAAAAAAAAAAGCATTTCTTGCACAGGATTTTTCCCCAGCTGTTCTAAATAATCCCTGTGTGTTCACCCAGGTGAAAGGCAGACACAGAAGTGGTCTGATACTAGGGGTTCCCAGAGAGCAGCACAATACCACAGGAAATAATTTTCAAGAAGCCTATTTCAAAGTCTTTGTTTGGTTTACATTAACAACATAATTAACTCTACTGCCTGAACAAACTGAGAAGAAAGCTCTGAAAACAAAGATTTACAGAATTGCCAACAGAGTTCACAAGTCAGGTTCTGAAACAACCATGGAATTGGCGTAGAAATATAAAAGTCACATGAGTCAGATTCTCCTTTATCTTGAGGTGCCTGTACTGGAAATCAGGTAGTGAGTTGAAGTGAGGGTGGGACTTTGAGGTGCAGTAGCTGCTCTATACCTGCTTTCTCAAGGGACAGCATGCTCCTTCCCTCTGGAAGTGAGCAGCCATGGGAGGAGCCACAGTTTCCATGATGCACAGGCACTTCTCCACCCACCATGGGGTTATCGTGGGCTGTGATTTTCCCAACTAGAGCTAAATTTCTCCTGCAGTTCTGGTTACCCTGACCCCCTCACCTGGGCTCTCATAACAAATGTCACCAGGTTGAGCAATTCTGCATGTTGCAGCTCTGTGCCCACAGCCCATAAAGCTTCCCAGATCACATGGTATTTATTCCACCTGCAAAACAGCACAGCAAGAGCTGCTCTTTGAAGGGAGCTGTATGAAGGCCTAAATTAAGTGTCAATAGTCACATGGGGACATAGCTTAATGGGGACATGATTTGCAATCTACATTTCTCAGTCTTCCTACCACTTTCTTACAAGGCAATGGAGAAAGCACAGCTCAACCCCACCATCATGCTAAACCAGAGAGGCAGTGCCAGCAAAAGAAAAACATGGCCAATAATGTTTTTAGGGGCACCTAAAGCCCCAAGAAGGTAAAAGGTGGAGGAGCTGGGACTTCCCAGCCCATTCCTAGGGTAGCTGTGAGCAAACAGTGACAGCACAAGGATTCAAAGCGCAGTTAAGCAAAAAACTGGAGATGTGAATCATAGAATCGTCTAGGTTGGAAGGGACCTTTAAGATCACCTAGTCCAACCATCAACATAACTCTGACCAAAAAAAAAAATAAAAATGTCTCTAAGCCATGTCTCTAAGCACTATATCAACCTGTCTTTTGAATACCTCCAGGGATGGTGTCTCAACCACCTCCCTGGGCAGCCCATTCCAATGCTTAATAACCTTTTCAGTGTAAAAATTTTTCCTAATATCCAGTCTGAACCTCCCCTGGCAAATGAGGCTGCCCAGGTCCAAACAATCAAAGAGAAGAGCACAGATGCCCTTCCTGCAGTTAAGGACTGCACAAGTGATGCACTCCGAACTGCCATGCTATTCCCTGCACTGTAGTCCCCGCCAAGATTATCCAGGGTAGCAGCACTTCTGACATCTGCCCTGAACTACTGTCCCTCCCCTTGCTGGGCTGCAACTCCCCTTCTGCTTGTTCCCTTCCAGCATGGAAACTCTTGCATCAGTGAACGGGATAGGCTTCAGGGTGTTAGGGAAAGGGTCAAGCACCAGTCAAAACTCCCCCGGCCTATGGCCAAAGGCTGTCCCACCTTGGATTAGCAGAACATGCTGCAACAGCAGGTCTCACTTACGGCTAACCAAACACCCCTTTCTCTCGCCAGACTAGCAGCTCCCTGCAGTAAAGGTATCCCAGGCCAGAGAGCAACCTTATGCCTGCTTGTGAACCCACCACACAGGCGGAGACAGTGACTGCTCCATGGTGTATTTAGTGCAGAGAGGAGAGGCCACAACCACCCCATCCAACACATCGACAACACAGAGGTTATTCTGCTTGCCTGGTGTGACACTACATGAACAACACTGCTAAACTCCAGCTGGTTTGCCAACACAAAGGCACTCGCACAAGGGCCTGCAGTAGCCCATGGAGCTCCCCGCAGGAAGCTATGCTGACCCTCACCTGGTCTCAAAGGAAGAGAAAAAACAAAACACTTTTCCCAATGCAGAGGATGGGCTCCTGTTTCTGAGCACACTGAGAGGTCCACTGGGATACTTTTCCAAACAGTGCTTAGTTCTCAGCTTTACTCTCAGTGCCCCTGCTTCCCCTAAGTGATCACACTTTTCTTCTGAACTAGCTATTACAAAAGCAAGTTTAGACACTGAGCCACAGACTGGCATGGGCCCCTGCCTGGCAGCCCAGCCAGGGTCAGAGAGCTGACATCCAAAGCTCCAGTGTCTCTCCAGTGGAGCCTGCCCCAGGCTGCCCAGGGAAGGGGAGAGGGCTTTCCCCCAGCCAAGTGTAAGTAAATTTAGGATTGAATCTAGTAGCCTGAACTCCTACAGCGAGCAAAGTCTCCTGAGGGCACAGGGAAAGGCATGGGCTCCATGGAGCAAACGTGAGAGTCTCTGGATAGAGAGCACTTACCTCACGTCCCGGCCTGTGCACTTGCTGCTGGGATAGCCACCCAAGCAGCCAGCCTGGCACCCTGCACACCACTCCGTCTCACCTGGGAGAAGTTCAGCCCATTGAGTGGGTGGCACTGCTCCTCTACTTTCTCCACAGCGCCCGTTTGCTTCCTCAGCCGCTCTGCTTCCTGGGCCAGGTACAGATCCAGGACAGGCACGCCTCGTGACTTGATGTCTGCCTCTGTCAGAGAGTTCACCATCAGCATCACCCACACTGGCCTCTTCCGCTCCCAGTTGCCAGCGATGGCATTGAAGAGGTAGTCTGCATACAGCCCTTTGCCCCGCTGGTCTGGGGTCATCCAGGATGGCATCATGAGCTTGACGTACTCCAGGTGCCGCTTGAGCCGGCGGTAGATGTCACGGGGCAGCACGTCCTGGAGGTTCTTCCCCTGTGGCAGGAGCTGACAGCTGGTGAGAGCTGAGATGGTGTAGGGGTCGGTGAGGTCCAGCTCAAAGTACACAATGTGGCTCTGCTGGAAGGCCTTCTTGGAGTTCTCTGGGATGAAATCCCAGACACGAGTGTATGGGACATGGATTGTCCCAAAGAAGTAAGACGGGGGATCTCTCTTGATGGTCCACAGGAAGGAGTTCAGCTTGTTTTGCTGGGGGAGAGGGAGACACAGCTGAGTAAGTACAGACATTAATGCTGGGCCACTGCAGTACAAGGCTTAAATGAAAACAGTTCCAAGCCGGTAGGTCACCTAGTTCAGCAACTTGCCAGCATGGACTTTTCCTAAAGCAGTTTTGCTCACACAGAGTCCTCTTTGACCATTCTTTTTCTCGGGTCTTGACGTCAAAATTCAATTTTCATTAATTAAAAACACAAGACAATTGGCCTTGGCTTTCTCCTTCTGAAAGGCAACACTAGGTCTTCTTAACAGTAATGCCACCCTGGCTCATCACTCAGATATCTGCCAAAATCAGCAGCAGAGCATAGCCCAAGCAGGCCATTCTCCAGACAAAATGCCTATCCAGTTTACACCTTTTATCGAGTCAAAGGCTGGCATTGCTTTGCTGAAGCACAGCATGACAGCAGGGTTTCAATCACCTTCATCTTGACACCTCTCACTTCAGCACAGCAAGGCACCTTTCATCAAAGAAACTGCTGCAATACTTAGTCAGAGGATGCTCCAGCACCTTGGGAGAACTTTCTGCTCTGAGCGAGACACCAAACAAATGAGTACCACAAAACACAGCTAACGGGCAGACTTGCTGGAGCGGGCAGAAATACAGTTTCACTGGGACGTAGCACATGGCAGACAGACACACTGTCAAGACCTCTTGCAGCCCAGTTCTCCTCTTTCTTAAGGAACACAAAAACACATGCAATACCTTGGAAAATAAGGTAAGAAATTCTGCAGGCTGAACTCAGACTGTGGTTTACGGCATACTTGTTTAAATACAGAGGAAGAAAAAGCTTCTTCCTTTAGAATAGCTTTTAAAATCTCTCAAAAACCACAGCCATCAGGAAGTCAGGATGAGACTTTAAGTTTGTTCCACTGCAAAATGGGAGTCACGGCATCCTTAGGAATACCAGAGTACAGGGTATTCCCTGTACTTGAGCTTGGGGATCAAGCGCCAAGCAATCCTGCAGGACAGGAGAGCAGATGGGGCAAAATAAATCCTGCTTGGATCCTGCAAAGTCACTTTACACCAGCATCAGGCACGACCTTCATCACCCACAGCATGTACCCCACTGGTGCAGTGGTCTTTACTGGAGCAATGGACACAAACAGTTTCAACCTGTCTGTGCAGACAGGAAGAGGTAGCCTTTGCATGTCTAAGTAAGAGGACAGGCTTCCAATGAGCTCAAACATCTGGTGAACCTTTAGCAAGTAGATAACTCTAACCTTGGGTCTGAGGCTAAGTGTGCATGTGTGCTGATCTAAGAAGCCTGCCTGACTGCCAAATGCAGAACAGGTTGCTTGGAGGAATTTACTGGAAGCACACGGCCTATAAATTTCTGATACAAAAGGCCCAGGGTCAGAAAGGTTAATCTCAAAGACTGCTCTGCAATGGCTCATCTGGGACAATCTTTTCCAGCAGTTCTCTACATCAAACCCAGACCACAGATCAGGCACCACTTCAGCAAAGTGCTACCACCAGTCCAGCTTACCAGCATGGATCAACAAACGAAGCATACTCCAAGGAGCTCTTCCTACACTTCTGCAGCATGTCAACAGTCTGAAGGATACCTCAGACCTTGGTAATATCATGCTACAAGTCTGGATCCTATAGGACAGTCCTGGAACGCACCCCTGAATTACAAACAGTAAAAACTCTCCTGAAGACCATGGGAAGACAGAGAACAAACACGATGCAGCATTGAGAGGTAAAGAAGATACAGCGCAACAGGTGAGTATGAATCTGACATAGACTCAGGAAGAAAAGAGGAAAATGAATACACAAAGTAAAACTGGAAGGAAAACAAGACAAAGTTCCCTCCTGCCCTTTCTCAGAAGGGAAAAATGGAAGGGCACAGCGCTGTGGTGAGAAATGAACTGGAAATTGTAATCACCCAGGAAAGAGGAAGGACCAGAAGAATAAGCAAATGAAGAGACAGAAGAGGTACCTGGAACAGGCATGAGGTCAGGAGGTCAACTGTCATTCACTTCACACAAGTCTGATCATGTACATGGCAATGCACAAGAGCAGCCACGACTTCAAGGAATCGAAAGGAGTAAGTGGTCACCAGCCAGCTTAAAACTTCAATTCAGCTCCTGAATAAACCCAGCCAGAAGGATCAGGCCCAGATGGATGGTACCAGGCTTTAACACAACCATTAGCCCTGCTCTGAACTACTATACACAGTCAAGCTAGACAGGTGTTTGGCATTGCATTCTCACTTTTTTTGCTTTGCAAATATGCTCAGCTTTCACAATTGGACACTGAAAGCAGAGTAATACTGCCAGCTATTAGTGGTACCACTGAGGAAATCACACAGGCCATCAGGCACACAGCATATAAAGTCTTCCCCTGAAGAGCCTGCAGCACAGTCAGAAGTAAGCAGGCTAAGACCTAGTCAAAAGCTAGACCAAGTCTAGGTCACAGTCCTAGAGACTGAGACCTGACAAAGTGGAGTAGCACTCTTTCTGGCACTTCCACATCAACGGAAGGAGTCATGAATTTGGCATCCTACCCCAAGTACTATTCAGGCCTCCCTTCTCAGAATTTCTTAGAGGGACTGGGAGACCTCCCCAGACCCTGCAGAGCCAGTTTCTGGGCATCAGCAGTTGGGTATCATGATCAGGTGATGCTACAACAGGAGCTCACAAAGCTTACTTTCCCTCCAAAATGCATTATAGCTGTAGAAAACATGCTAGTGCCTCACACTCCTTTGGCACCTCCTTATCTTTCAGGAGGTGGAGAGTGGAGTCCTGGCACCGCTCTGCCTCCATGCCACATGCCTGCAAACAGCCTGCTACCACTTTGCACAAGAGAGGATGAGGCAAAGTCCTTGGTGTGCCTGAGCTCTACCTTCTGGCCCTCTCACGTCCCTCTGTGCTGTGTCTTCTTTACCTCTCACGTCCCTGTGTACCCCCTGGAGCTCATACGTTTCACTGCAGCTTCAGAGAGAGAAAAGCACCGGTATAATCTGTCCCCAAGATCATGAAAGGGGAACCACTAAAAAATGTTCTAGGTGGCTGTGAGCACATGAACAGTGCCAAGGTTTGTTCAGCATCGTACTGTACACAATGACTGGCCGTGCCTCTCTCTCAGCTCACTTTCCTGAGCTAATGCAATAGATAAAGGTGCTACAACCCAATTTTCCTTTGCAGTAGGATCATTCTATATAGCTGTTACATCAGAGAAGGTTGCTTTAAAACCAGCATAAATTACAGTCAAAGTGGTGTCCTGGAGGCTTAAGCAAACTGGGTTGTATAGCTCCAGGAATTTCACTTTCATCAACGTAACAACAAAAAGTCAGATTTGCATATGGATCAAGATATGTATTCTGTCTCCACACTCCAGTCTACAGGTAGTATTCAATGCATTACTTGTGATGGGAAAAACTAGGAGCAAGAGATAAAAATAGAGGGGCACTCTAAGAAAGAGAGCAGCAGTCCCGCACGAGAACACCAGTCTCCCAGTTTGCTGCCACACCAAGATCTGAGGCAGTGTCACACTAGCCACACCACACCTCCACTGTGCCTCAAGTTTAACCTCCCACTACGTAGTCCCAGATCAAGGTATTTCTGAATCCTCAGCACTATGGCACAATGCCTTCTCCCCTACCTCACCTCCCCGTGTGAACAACAGCTGCCTGTGAACTGATTCAGGGTATCAGCCCAATCGAAAAATTGCTTGGAACAAAAAAAGAGAAAGGTTTCTCCCCAACCAGCAGGGAAATGAAGGAGCAAGAAAAGGAGCTACTCAGGCTGACACTGACAACACACTGGAATCCACTTCCTACGGTGAGGGTGGGAAAGCCTCCCGTCCAACCAGGGCTGCATAGCGGACAAACTCCATTGCCCACCATGAGATGCAATGGGGGCATATAAGGCCAGAAAATGCATCCCCAAAATGAGGGGACAACAGTGTCAGGCATTGCAGAAATCCTGGAACAGCATGGTGCAAATCAAGGGGTTTTCCTCAGGAGCTGAGGGATAGTCTAGACCAGAACACAAAGAAAACCTTGAGGAAAAGAAAAGTGATGTATTGCAGATCAGTAGCTGAAACCAGAGCATGCTAGTCCCATATCCCAACATTTGCCCCCTAATCACATACCTGGTTGTCCACAGTTGGCACTGGAAACTCTCATGAAATCCTGCCTCCCTTCTACCTGCTCAAGCAGAACACAGGCTCTGACTGAGAGGATTTTTATTATCTTTCCAATAGGTTTCTTTTTTTATGATGCAAAAAAACCCAAGCCTCAGATTCTGTTAATTCTAGCTATCCCCAGCAACTTGCCTTTCTAGCAGTATTTATACGTTCACCATAGGATGCAACTTGTAGTCTTAAAATACACAACTACTACTGCATTTGTCAGATATCACAAATCATTTCAAGTGAGGCAGCAATGATTCCTCCCTGGAAGTGTTCAAGACCAGGCTGAATGGGGCTTTAGGCAACCTAGTCTAGTGGGAGGTGTCCCTGCCCATGACAGAAGGGTTGAAACTCAATGATCTTTAAGGCCCCTTCCAACCATGATCCTGCAGGAAGAGCGGTGCCAAAAAGGATCACAGATAGTGTCGTCTTTCTTCTGAGAAACTAACTCAAATTGGGTCAAATGATGTACTGTCTGTCAAGAGTAAAATTACAGAAAATCCAGGAAATAATGCAGGAAGAAAAAAAAAGGAGGAACAAAGAATGAATCTCATGGCAGCACTGTAAATGTCTTGAAGAAGAGCATGGAGTTTAAAAAACAAAACGAAAAAATTCAAGAGGGAAGGTTGTGGTGATGTAGGGAATGGAGGCTCAGAGGGGAAGGAAAACTGCTGCTCAAAGACTGAGGAACTGGATTTGAGTTCCAGACAATCAAAAACCTGCACCTGGTCTGCTTCCTTCTACATCACTTCTGCTTCCTTCCATCTTCTGTCTCATCTACGTAGACTAGACATTTTTGCAGCACAAACTGTATAACTCATTGTGCAGGTAGGTGCCCTCCATGGTTTTAGTGTCTTTCAGGACCTCTAACCTTATTACTTACCACTTGGCCCCACAGCCATATCTGGCAATCTTCAGCCCAGGATTGCACTGCTTCTCAACCCACAATATTCTCTTACATATTTTTGCTTGTTACAGAAGCCAGAGCATGTGGCATGCAATATTTCACTCAGGCAGGCAGCCCCATAACCCTCCCTATATGGCTTCTTCCCTCCCTCTTATCTGCCCTGGTATTGTACCTTGTCATGTTCATTTATACCTAATTGAGGCAAAGATTGTGCCTTTACTCACCTCACTCGTGTAAAGTGCCCCATGCATTTACGGTAATGCACACAGAAATGGTAGGCGAATTTTTAATAGTCATTCACTTCAGCTTTAGCCCACCTCAAACTCGGCTTAAGACTGTAAGAAGAACTCGCCTGGGGATAAAAATTGCACAACTATTAAAAGAGCACACATTCAGTTTCTATTTGCCAGAAATGAAAAATAAAAGTAAAATATTAACTAAAAAGCCGAAGATTGAGACTAGACAGACTACTTGCTCTGCTGAAGTGCATATATGGGGAAAGGTAACCATTTAAATTAATTGGCCCCCTATCAGGAACAACATCATAAAATACCAGCTACAACTACATGCATTCTGCTGTTAACCGCTGGATTCTGGCCTGAAATTCACCAATATACTCCAATGTTAACAAAAAGAAAGCACTACCAGACCATATTACTTGTTAACTAGAAGATAACCCAAAGGATTTCAGCATACTTTATTTTAGATTAACTGTTTTCAATGCCTTTCTTTTTTCCTATTAAAAAAAAAAAAAAAAAAGAATGATGGGGCACATTATTGGTTCCAGCTTTAACTATAATTTGGAGTGATGATGAGAAAGTCCCCTGAAGTATTGTATGCTTATTCCTTAAAATAGCAGCTTCTCTCTTTTGGGCACTGATGCACGTATTTCTTTCATGACAGACACTTTAGGCAACCTAACAAAAAGAAGAAACATCTATCTGTGATCTAGAGAGGTAAGAATAGAGATATCATAAAGAATTAAGATAAAAACAAACAAAAAAGCCCTCCCTCATGATACAGGGACAAAGAGGAATGTTTTTTTCCCCAAGGGGTTGGTGTAAATATTCATAAGGATACATTCAGCAGCTTTGCAAATATGACTGATGCTGCCATTCCTAAAGGGTGTGGTTACCAGCACTGTCCCGAGGACCCTAGGAAACAGCCTGCCAATACCAGAACTCCAGGTGGTCTCACATTTTAATGACAGACTAATCACCAGATAATGAGATACCATTAACACATTTCACCTCCAATTTTGCCTGTAACTGCCAGAATGGCTCAATGGCAGTCAATAGCTCCTGAGGAAAATTCCCCATGTGCCACCACATCAGTGAATTACCCATTTCTAAAAGTACAACTTCTGCTGTTGTGGCTCTCTCTCTTCCTTCTTGCTCTCGCTAGCTCCTTGCAGCAGATTCATGCCAGCACAAAGCTATTACACTTCATGATTTCAAGGAGAAAGGGGGACCTGCTGCAGAGGCTTGACCTAGCTTTACAGCAATGTCACGGCTGGCCACCTACAAATCCAGTTAACTGGTTCCAGGCACAAGCATACTGGTAATGCTCTCTCCCCCAAGTCAGGGTTAAGCTCTGTCTAGCCCACGGTCCGGCAGACAGCTCCAGTGAGGGACATGCAGCTCATGTAGCTTGGCATATGTTTAAATTGGCAGTGTCCTAAATCCTAGGATCCCCCTCTATAGCTGCAGGGAGGCCGACACACTCAGCTGGAGGCAGCAAGGCCCCTAGACCAACGGGGCTATATGTAGGTGCACGTGCAGGTGAGAGACAGAAGGTAGGTCTCGGAGCAGACCTCCTTCAGAGTTTTAAAACTTTCTCACATCTACCCTGCAGTTTGCCCACTGTAGGTTTGGCACCTCCCTAGTGCAGCAGGTCTGCATTCAATTTCAAAGGGCTCCTAGATTCCTTAACAGCTGTGCCAGAGAAGGTAACCCTGTCCCGGGGCAGGAGATGAACACAAATGGTGAGATACGTGTCCCTGGAGCATCTCAGGTGCACAGCACCTCCAGTCAGGATGCTTCCAGGTCCAAGCATATGCCAACAGACAGCATGGATGGTCTGTCAACACTAACAGAAGCATTAAAACAAATTAAGTTAAGGAAGGCTTTTCCTACATGATTTTTGGTACTTTTAGCTCAGAAACTTCAGCGAGAATTGCTTCTTCTCAGCTCGCAAGCTTCTCACTGGCTAGTGCACCTGGCTGCACTCACCACCCATCGGAGCCAGGTCAGCCCATGCCGCTTCTGGTTACTGCAGTCATGCTGATGACGTTAGGGGACGCGCAGAACCTAACCCTACCATATACTCTTGTTTCCACTTTAGGGCCACGACCATTTGCTGGTCCGAGCCTGCCCCGCCGCTCTCGGCGTTCCGCAGTGAGGCAGGAGGCCACCCCTGCCGGGGATGCTAGCCGAAGTCGCCGCAGACGCGCCGGTCCCGCTGCAAGCGGCGCGGGGCAGGCAAAAAGGTCCTGCTGGGACTCATCCCGGGCTCTTCCTTCTCCATCACGCCCCTCCGTCAGCGCCCTGCGGTGGTCGTCCCACCCGGCGCACAGCCTTCCCCTCTCCCTTGCCCCGCTCCGGCCCGCCACCCGAGCCCCGCACCCCGCGCCCGCCGCAGTCCGGGCCGGGCCGGCGCCGGGGCGCCTGCCCCTCCGCGCCCCATCCCCCCACACCTCCAGGGAAAGGGACGGCCGCGCCGTGATGCCCCGTCCCGCGCAACTCCCGCGGGGCCGCGGCAGCCGGTGCGTTCCCTTGCGGGAGGCTGCCCCCACCCCTCCCCGCGCCGGCACTCACCCTTCCGCGGAGCGGGCAGGCGG